GTTTCGTGAAATCGATAAAAAGATCAACGTGCAAGAAATTTTTAATTGTACGTTCATCGTGAATGGCAATTTTATTTCGCATTCTTCCGTGCAGATACCCCCTTTACGCCCCCTTATAGGAATGTCCTACTAAGGTTGCCATGCCATAAAAACGTTTATCACACAACTCATATTCTATTATATCTGCATTTATTAATGTCATTTAAACTAAGTGATGCCATGTTTGTTATGTGCCTCTGCCGTCTAAACTACCTATTTAAAAAGAAGAGTTAGAAGAGAGCCAGATGATCTTCCCAATGCAAAAAAAAACAGAAATGAAACACTTCTGGCTCACTACTGAAGAACAAAAAAAAACACACCCTCAGCTATGTTCCAAACGTTTGAATCGCGATTGCGTTTTATTAAAGGGACATCACTCTAAACAGAGTAGTCTCGTTGCACCAGAGTTATCGTTCTTACTGCGAACAATAACGTCTGGTTGAGATATATGTTATATTCATGAGCCTCGACTACGATCTGTAGGTTTCTTTCCTAATACGCGATTGGATGGCATTAACATGTTGAATAATAAACTTCAATAACAACAACACGGTCGAAGAGCACATGTATCGTGCTGTTTTATTTTAAAGACGAGAGTTTTATCTTTTATTTAGATGCATTTGGTAATGATTTGTTTTAAAAGGGAGATGAACAAAATATTTTCAATGAATGTGTAAAACTCCTGTTTTTAGATATAAAAGAATCTTAAACAAGGATTTAAAAAGTATTTCTATATAAATCTTGGTTAAAAAATAATATATTTTGTTTTTTGGTATAAAAAAAAAGAATTATAAATCTCGAATCCATTCTCCTCCTCATCAAAAATTAAGATGAATGATCGAACTATTTTTTAATAGCAAGTTTTAATTTCAGCTTATTGACACCCCTCTCGGATTTTTTTTGTGGGAAAAAATGGGCTCCCAAGTTATCATGACTAGGGAATTGCTGGAGCAGACTGCAGCGGGCCCCTCTTAGGCAGTCAGTGAAAATTTCTAGATACGCCATTGCCACTTCATGTAAAATTACGTACACGCTTTGTTTATTCTATCAACAAAATTGGGTTTTAGTGGGGTGGGGTGGTACACGCATCTTTTGTCAGTATCAATACAATACTGCGAATATTGTGTTTTGATATCTTGACAACAACTGAACTGAGTGCTTTTACTTCCCCCTTTTCTATTTTTCTTTTTTTTTTAGTTTGGGAAGTTGATTGATTTGTTGCTAGAAAAATAGTTCATTCATATTCTAGAAGACTGCAAGCTGTATACCAAACAGCTATATATATAAACAGATTGGTCACTATTGGTATCAAACATATATTAAATGTTTTACATTTGATTTATTTATTTTGTTTCTTTCAAATTTCTAGATTTGTATAATTTGAACGCTGAACCAAGGATTTGTATAGTTTCTATACAAATCCTTGGTTAAACCTCATAGATTTAATCATACCTTTATTTAATTTTCAGTTTTGCTATTATCCTGACAGGGTAGAAATTGGACATAACTGCTCAAATTAAACATGATGCTTTTTTTGTATATAATTAAGTGAAAATAATCCGACCGGGGAGGTGGGTTGCATTTGAAAATGCATATTTTTCACATTAACATATATATTATAAAGATTTAATATAACACTTCAATATTGTAAATCTTTAATTTTATACAGATTTTATTTTTTTTAATAAATACTAACATTGTCTCGCTGTTTTACACGGCTAATAGTTTCATGCGATGGCAAAGGCCCCTGTCTATTTCTTTGGAAAGAAAGAGGGGGCTTTACAATCGCAAGAAACAGATGCCTTTGTTGCTTCTTGTTGACGGCGTCACTGGTTTTGAGACGAAAAAAGCGCTGTCCTTTTGTTTTTATATGTGTGTAGTTATTTTGCAAAAAAAAAAAACAAAAAAAAAAATAGAGAAAAAGTTACTGAAATATGTCAATGATGACCACGGAGACAGAGTAGGGAATTCGTAAACAAGACACATTGGTGGCCTTTGGCTGTTTTCTGCTCTTTGGTCGGGTTGTTGTCTCTTTGACACATTCCCCATTTCCATTCTCAATTTTATCAAAAAAAATCAGTATGACTGCTGTGGATAGTAAACTTGAAATTGATAGTAAACAGCAAATACAAGTTATTTGTAGTTTATTTAAATTCATGACACAGAAAAACGGGAAAATTTTGAAATTTTTAAGGGAAAAAAATTACGGGTATTGGAAAAAGGGCGGGGACTAAATAATTGTCCTGTCCCCAATTACCTGGGTTAAAGCAATTGTAGTCCACCATACGGCCTTCACTGAACAATCGGATCAAAACCATTTCCGTATAGTCATCTAAACCAGGACTCAGGGGCGGATCCAGGATTTTGGAAAAAGGGGGGGGGGGGGGGCGTAGTATGTAAAAGTCAGCTAGCGGAGAGAGGCGAAATTTTTTTGGGACCTTTTTTGGGCTAAAATACATAAAATAAGTGTAAAATGCACATTTTTAGTGACGGTTCCTAACGTGGGGTATGTATATATTATAGTTAAAGTGTAATCTTGGGTTGGACATTTTTGATGCCGCATTCTCCCCATTAATTGTCTGTTATAAAATGATTGAATGGATCTAAAGCTATGTACTAATATATTTGATGTGGGATCGTCAGTAAAAAATGGACATGAAAAATTCTCGTTTGTTGTATGGTTAGTTAGCATAACCTCACAGATTACTTGTTGTAGACATGATATACGGCTATTCAATGAAGTTTATAATACGACCGACACGAACAAAGACAAAACAAGCATTTTTTTATCCAAATGTTTGGTTGAAATGTTTCACTCAACAAGGGAAGTGAGGGGTTCCAAATCGACCAAAGGCTACGAATGAGTCTGAAAATCAAATGACAACGAAGTTGTGAATGACGGTCGACAAATGGAGACATAAAGGCCACACTGACCCAGCAGGCAGGTTGCAGTTGGGCCTGGAAAAAAGTATTCAGTATATCAGTTCGGCGAAACAGACATTCCGGTAAGATATGGATTTACATGCAACCCCCCCCCCCCCCCCCCCCCCCAAAAAAAAAAAATTACGTCCGTTTTTTATTCACCATGTTCATTTAATGCTGATTAATTCTGTTGGATTTTTTTTTCTTATAGCAAAAAAGGGGACACGATAATTGTTTTCATTACAGATACGGCCAGAATTTTTTCTCTATAATATCTCAGACTGCCCTATCAAATCAAATTGTCCGTACCTTAGACTTTAAATATATCTAGAGCTTACTGACTGGGGATCATTATTCAGCAATGTTATTAATTGGCTGGGGCGTGTGGGGTTAAATATATTTTCGTAGGTAAATAATATTGTCGTGGAACTTTTTTTTTCATGAGAGTGTAATTTATTAATAGAGTATTTTTTTCTGTTGAGTGGAAATATGAATTAGAAGTCAATACGTTCTTGCTCAATCCTTTGTCGCTTTGAAGGTGTCATGCTTGTCATCCTCCGCCTAAGCAATGTGTTCCTGTAATTTGAATTTCGAAATGACTGAGTAACGTTTCAAACGTACTGATCAACTCCACCGTAGCGAAACACATGACTGACATAATCAATAATATATTACAGTTAATACGAGCGAAAAATATCTTTATAAGTAATGAATTGTCGCATAAAAATTAAATACACGACCGGGAAATGGCAAAGTTCACGAAGTCAAGTCTGATTCATCATTTTACAAAAAAAAAAAAAAAAGAAGTTCAAGCAATGGGGGGGGGGGGGGGGGGGGGGCATACGCCCTCCTCTGGATCCGCCACTGGGACTGACATAACCAAATGTATAAAAATTCAAAAGGAAAGACCAACGGCATAATGAATGACAAAATAATAAACGAAAAAAAAATGACAGGCAGCAACCTTCTACCACTACTGAATTACATGTTCCTAGCTTTCATTAGCTAATGGCGTACATAATCGTGCTGTGGATTAACATTTTTGCAAGACACACATATAAGAGCATAAAAATTCTGCAAGTCATATCATCATTGATAAGTCTAAAGATTAAATTAGTAAAAATTGTTACTGTAACAATTAAGAAAACCACACCAGTGTCATTTATCAGCCATTGTTATAGATGAAGATCAATGCATGGAAGTATGGGGCACTGATACTGGTCAGAATGTAAATAAGTATATGGTGGCATTCTTAATGCAGTTGCGGATCCAGAACTCTTTTTTTTTTGGACGATCAATGCATTTTAATGGGTACATATGGAACCCACCTATTTAAAATGGCTGGATCCGCCCCTCTAATGTGTATATTCATTTGGCACGAACTTGTTATTATCCTATATGCAGATGGTTGTTATATTTGATGCTGCACAGCCATAAATTAGACTATTAATGACGTCTTTACACTTAATCCATTGGATGTTGGATGTGTGCTTATTGATACTCAAGTCTTAGATACAGGTTTTGTTTACACGTTGTTATTGGCTTTGAACTAGCTGTCAGTAACTGCCAGTACTATTATATCTGTACTTAGTTTTTTTTGTTGTTGTAGGGATGTATAAATACAATATGAGTTCAGCCCTAATCAACTGATTTTCATAGTTTGTTCATATATTGTACTGTTAAACTGCTGTCTCAGGTTAGAAGGAGGGTTGGGCGCTGGCCAACATGTTTAAGCCCGCCACATTCTGAATGTGCCTGTCCCATGTCAAGAGCCTGTAATTCAGAGGCTGTATATCATATTTGTATTTCGTCAATTGAATTGTTTTTACAGAAATCAGGCTGTTAGTTTTCTCTCTGGAATTGTTTTACATTTCTCATTTTGTGGCATTTAATAACTCACTATGCAATATAGGTTTTGCATCTTTGGTGTTCTTTATATTTCATTACTAGGTAAATGTTGTTACTTTTTAAACAAATTGAAAACTCAACACAGTTTAAATCATTTTATAGTTCATAACTTTTTTGTTTTGCACCATTGAAAGTATTTACAGCTTTTTCTTGTTCAATGAAATAACTGTCATCGCTATATGAATTTCATCAATGCATCCAAATTTGATATAGTCATCATCCACAGCAAATTGCAAAGATCATTCATAGTGCTGAATCTCCTCTCTTCTCCTGCTGTTGATGGTAGAATTAGCAAACAATAGTAGTGTAATGTAATCTTAAGGGCTGGAGTTATAGCTCTGGAGAACATTGTAAATATCAGTATCATATATATATTTCATGAATGGTTCTCTGCATCTTATTTTCCTAAAAAGATATGACTCAAGATCAGATAACTGCTTTTTTAATTGAAGACACTCATTATGTATTGGAAGAATTACTGCATGCTTTTACTCTTTTAATTGCTTGGAATTTGACTATATGGAGCATTAGGTTATACTGTTAAAACTGTATATTGATATGTTCCTTTGGTTATTTTTGTAGTTGAGTTGCTGTCTCATGGGACCCCACATCTTTTCAAACAGTGTTAGCTCCATTTAATGATCTTCAAAACGGTTCATATGAAAGCTAAAATCAAAAAGGTTATTGTGTATAAATTAAGTGCTTTTCTTCTTCCAATTAAAGAGAGATGTATCAAAATGCATTGAACAAAGTTAAATCATTATATTTTTCATAAAATATGTCTAAATAAAAAAGTTAAAGGCTTAAATTATATTAAATGTTTTAATGGAAACATAAGACAGGACAGGACATACATACATTAGTTTCTTAAAGCCTTACAATTTCAGCTTTTAAAGTCTTAGGGCATGGAAAGTCTCCTGTCCTTTGACAAATGAAATTATTCTCCTTTAGTTGTCCTTTGACAAATGAAACTATTCTCCTTTAGTTGTCCATCATGTCCATAGAACTGTGGTAACTTTTTGCAACTCCATCATGTTAAAAAGAAGTGCTAGAAAAATACAAGTAATGGAATAATCAATAGTTATAAAATGTAGAATTTTGAGTCACAGTGTATCACTATAAATGGTTAATTTTATTAAGTATACAATGCATAAGGTCTCTGTTCTAATTTGCATGGTGGCAAAATAATGAATAATAGCCCACAGCCATAATATTGATAGTAATTATAAACAAATGAAATTTTATTCACTCATTGTCAAACATGGTTGTGGTTGGAACCAAAAAAAATTACATAATTACTACGGTAATATTTCTTTAATCGATAAGTTCATCATAAATATCTTTCAATTTTCGATGATCTAGAATACCAAAATATCACTAACCAGTGAGTTGTGGAATGCATGCTTGTAGAGTTCGCGAAATATTTTTTTCCCTGATGGTCCTACAAGAAAACCTGCTGGTCCTCACTATAATTTCTGTTGCAAATAATAACCAAAGTTGTGTCGGTCCTTTAAAAAGTTTGGTCAAATCTTTGGACCACCAGTTTTTCGAGAATTCTGTGCTTGATTACATTATAAATGATTAAATCAGCTTGCAAATGAAATGAACTATATGTACATGTTGTTATTGAAATTCTAATGGTTATTTCAAAGTCATTTAATCAAGTATAGATTCACCATATCAAATAAAAGCAACATGCAGTAATTATACCGCTGTTCTAAAAATCGTCATATTCAGCACTCATCAAGTATAATGTCCACTTTACTACATTCCATTGTTTGTTTTAATTTTTCTTCAAGATGTGCAAAATTGATCTGGAATAAATATTAAATCTTTAAATGACAAAATTGTAACTTTAATGTAAAGGGACTGTCAACAACAAACAGACATATCTACAAAAAAAGTAATGTATGTACTTGAGTTATATAATGCAGGTTTTTTTATTTCATTAAAGGTAGTTTTAATAAATGAAGTATTTGAAAGTATATTTACAAATGCTCATTACTTCAGATACATGTATATTGACCTAGATTTAAAAATTTAACACATGCATAATTATATAAATTTTAAACATGTTTGTACATAAATAATAACACAGTCGCTTGAATTTTAGTGATAAAAATATGATTTTTTTTATTAAATATTTATACCACTATTTTTTTTAAAATTTTCTTCATATTTTTATCACTAAAATTCAAGCAACTGTAATAATAATAATAATCATATTAATATATACATTTAAAAATAATAATAGTGTTTTTTTGGGTGATAGAAGCTACCAGTTTGTCCTGCAGCATGTGTTTTAAGTTGTAATTTCTGTCCTGCCTTTTTAATTTTCACTCTATTAGGTCCTGATTTTTTTATGGTATTCTGACTATTTTAAAATAAATAATTTGTCATCCTGCCTTATTTTGCAAATTGTCCCATCCTTCCATTTTTTTACTCAGTCATAACTCCTGTCCTGCCTTTTTTAAAAATTTCATCCTAGCCCCCCGCTAGTTGCAAAACTTTGTGCACAAGTAACGCATATAACGTTATTTTCCGTGCAGAAATCGGAGTGTGTGTTGTATAGATATAAGGCATTATCATAACTGTAGCACTTGATGTTGCTTCCAACCGGCACCAGGCATGATGCTTGCTACTTCCTCCGTTTGTTTTTGTCTAGTGTTACCGCAAGGGAACCTCAAGTCTAGAAAGTTTTCGAAAAAATCCAGCTTGCGTGTTTGCATATTTGGACACGCCTTCGCATCACAATCATTCGAACCGATTGGATCCAGTATGGCATGGTATTGGTTGCAAAAATTTGATATTTTTCATTTAAATGCAATATTTTTTATTTAATTGGTATATTTCTTCATTTAAATGCAATATTTTTTTATTTGAATGGTATATTTTTTCATTTAAAAGCAATATTTTTTATTCAAATGGTATAATTTGTCATTCAAATGGTATAATTTGTCATTCAAATGCAATATTTTTTATTCAATTGGTATAATTTGTCATTTAATTGCAATATTTTTTATTCAATTACATACTTTTTATTCAATTGGTATATTTCTTCATTTAAATGCAATATTTTTTATTCAATTGGTATATTTCTTCATTTAAATGCAATATTTTTTATTTGAATGGTATATTTTTTCATTTAAATGCAATATTTTTTTATCTAAATGGTATAATTTTTCATTTAAATGCAATATTTTTTATTCAAACGGTCTAATTTGTCATTCAAATGCAATATTTTTATTCAATTGGTATATTTCTTCATTTAAATGCAATATTTTTTTATTTGAATGGTATATTTTTTCATTTAAATGCAATATTTTTTATTTAAATGGTATATTTTGTCATTCAAATGCAATATGTTTTATTCAATTGGTATAGTAGTTTTTATTTATTTATATGCAATAATTGCATTATGGGAAATTCTTTGACGTCTTAAGGTCAAATTTGCAACAACGTTTCTGATTGGTCGGTAATTGTTTGGATTTCCCCCTTTCTGTCTAAACATGAGTGACCAAGAATTAAAACAACGCGTCGGAATATCGCCCCTCTAACTAAATTTGGCGTTCGTGCGAGTTCGTGCACTGGCTGTTAATGCCAATAATGGCCAGGTCGAGCAAAAAATGCGAGTGACAAGTAATAATAATTATTTTGACACACAACCTATTCATGGATAGAAACAGATGCCTGCGTGCATGGCAAAAACGCTTCCAATGAAAACCCTTTCTGAAGAAACTTCCCGACAGTCTACACATTGAAATAAAAAAAAAAATGCATAGCTAGTCCCCCCTCTAAGTCCAGATACATGTAATCATGATATCCTCTGATGCAATATCATTTTTTCTTTTCTTGGTCCTCAGAGACGTTGTTGAGGAAGGCAAACATAAAAAAGAGTAAAAAGCCTTCAAGAACGTTATAATTATTTGGACTAAGCTCCATCTTTTTTGCTTCATGTAGAAAAAAATCACCTAATTACGACAGCAGAACCAGAGACCCACAAGAAGAGACCTAAGCTGTGATACTCCGGAACTAATTCTTTAATAAAGACAATTCGGGATAAATTGGAACCAGTTACTAACCCATGTTACAACAATAGTCCTATGACATAGGACGTACACTGTATAAGGCGTGAACTTCACATTTTGGACTATCTATAATATGTGCTCTCATGTCTTATGCCGCAAATCATTTTACATTTAGGATTCGTTGCTGAGCTTTTTTTTACTGTTCACATCTCCGAATCCCTTAAATAGAATTTGTTTTTCAAGTCCCACAGTAGTTCAATAATTAATATACCTATGTCTTTGCATAAATAAGTATGCAGGGCATATTTCAAAACATATTTTTGCTTCAGGACTTTTAAACGATTTACTTTTCAATACTGCATTGGGAGGGGGAGGGGGTATACAAGTTTATATTGTGACACAGTATATAATATAATTAGATACAAATCTCTAATGATTTGTATCCAACAAATTATAGGATTGTACGTTTAGCAATTAAATAGACCCGTACAAAATGTATAATATTATCAGATACATTTAACAGGGGCGGATCCAAAACCTCGGTGTCTAGGGGAGTTGGGGGGGGGGGGGGGGGTGGTCAGATTAAGATATTTGTATAGAGATGTATATATGCGATATTTGCAGTAATGGTTAATGTGTGTGTGTGTGAGGGGAGGGGATTCAGATTAAAGATAGTTTCTATAATTCTATATCTTTTAGTTTTTACCATTTCATTCTATTCTTTATCCTTTGATCTCTATTATATTTGTGCTAAACATGCGTGAAATATTTGTTACTGGACATTTGGCAACCAAAAAACAATCGACGCATTCTTTATATTTCATCATTTCTTTATTATGTTATCTATAGGTTTGGTCCCGCCCCATATCCATTTTTTGCACATTATTCTCTCCATGTAAAATTCCTGTCCTGATAAATGGTGACTCATGCATAGCATCAAATGTGGTTATTAAAACAAGAAACATATTCATATTATAATAATTTACTGTATGCTTGGACTTATAGATAGATGTCATTAGTCCAAGATCATGTAATAAAGTAGGTAAAGTAGGTACAATAGCATTTTAATGATGATTATATATATGTATATATATTTAACAATGCCAATTTTTGGGGAAAATGGGTAGGGGCAAGGCGTTTTTAAAACATATCAATGGGGCGCGTTTTTTTGTTCTTCGGTAGTGAGCCAGAAGAAGTCCATTCCTGTTTTTTTTTTGCATTGGGAAGATCTTCTGGCTCTCTTCCACCTCTTCTTTTTTGATAGGTTGTTTAGACGACAGAGGCACATAACAAACGTAAACAAAGGCGTCGTTTAGTCTAAATAACATTAATAAATTTATGAATTCAGATATATTAGAATGTGAGCTATATTATAAACGTTTTATGGTATGAAAGCCTTGGCAAGACATCCCTGTAGGACGATAAGCTGGATAAATATAAGAACTCCAGGGACAATAACAGTTAAGGGACGATTATTTGATATTCTAGGTAAGGGATTTTGATTGATTGGTGTTAAACGCTACTTTCAACACTATTGGGCTATTCCGTAGTGGTCAGTTTACATTTATAGATAAAGGATGGGGAAGGGAAGAGAGGGCATTATTATTCATTTTAATCTGTCGTTAATCGTGCCTATTTTTCAGCTCTTACCAGGCAACCATACTCATATATATGAAATCCTTCTGTCCCCCACCCCAACAAATAAATAAATATCAAATGGTTTTCCTCTTATTTAACACAAGTTTAAATTGATTGATTGTTTTGTTGCTAATTGTTAACACCCAGTGACAAATATTTCATGCTTGTTCAGGTAAACACGAGTTTAGAAGTCCGGTATATAATATAAAAACGAAGAGATGGGATATGATTGCTAATAAGACAACTATCCACCGGAGTTCAAATATGAAGTGGATGTAAGCAATTATACACAATCGTAAGGCCTTCAACAATGACAAAAACCTGATACTGTAAAGTCGTCTATAAAAGGTCCGACATAAAAAGTGTGAACAATTCAAACGAAAAAACTAACGGCCTAATTATACATAACAAAACAATTTGCAAAATATCAATTACGGGTCGAAACATGAACCAACGACAACCACTAATCTACAGGCTCCTGACCTGGGACAGGCAAATAAAGAATAGTGCAGGGTTGATATAAAAACGAAGATGTGGTACCGTATGATTGCAAATGAGACAACTCTCCACAAGAGACCAAATTAAACAGAAATCAACAGCTATAAGTCTCCGTACGGCTTTCGACAATAAGCAAAGCCTACCACATAGTCAGCTATATAAAAGGCCCCGAAATCACAAATGTAAAACAATTCAAACGAGAAAACTAACGGCCGAATTAATGTACAAAAAAATGAACGAAACACAAATATGTATAACACAGCAACAAAAGGCAACCACCGAATTACAGGCTCCTGACTTGGGACGTCAAGCACATGCATACATACAGAATGTGGCGGGGTCAAACATGTTAGCGGGATCTCAATCCTCCCCTAACCTGGGACAGTGGTGTAACAGTACAACAACATGTTTGTGAGCGGCACTCAACCCATCCCGAAGCTGGGACAGTGGTGTAACAGTACAATAAAAGAACAACCTGCACTAATCAGTTGCAATTAGATTAACTAAAAAGATCGGTATGAGACACACAAAAAAACTAACATTAAGACAATAGACGCAACGCACCGACATAAGAGTATTTACAATTACTGGAAGTTTTCTCAAAGCTAACTACAACTAGTACTGGAATAAATCTTGTTCTCCCAGACTGAAGTATCAATCAGTACACAGCGCGCGGCAAAGGATTTATTAAAAAAGAAAACAGTATGAGAAACGTCTGGTTTATGTTGTATATAGATATAAGAAGATGTGGTATGAGTGTCAATGAGACAACTCTCCTTCCAAGTCATAATTTGTAAATGTAAACCATTATAGGTCAAAGTACGGTCTTCAACACGGAGCCTTGGCTCACACCAAACAGCAAGCTATAAAGGGCTCCCAAAAAATTACTAGTGTAAACCATTCAAACGGGAAAATCAACGGTGTCTAATCTAGTTAAAAAAACGATATACTTGCATATAGATCCATATACAATGAAAGTTTTTGAAAAGTGGTGGTCCAAACGTTTTGACCATCGAAATTTTGCAATAGAAATAATAGTTAGGACCAGAAGATTTTAACAGCCAGTGCAGGACTCGCACGAACGCCAGATTTAGTTAGAGGGGCGATATTCTGTCGCGTTTTTGAGTTCTTGGTCACTCATGTTTAGAAAGAAAGGGGGAAATTCAAACAATTACCGACCAATCAGAAACGTTGTTGCAAATTTGACCTTAAGACGTCAAAGAATTTCCCATAATGCAATTATTGCATATAAATAAAAAAACTACTATACCAATTGAATAAAAAATATTGCATTTGAATGACAAATTATACCATTTAAATAAAAAATATTGCATTTAAATGAAGAAATATACCAATTGAATAAAAAACATTGCATTTGAATGATATATTATACCATTTGAATAAAAAATATTGCATTTAAATGAAAAAATATACCATTCAAGTAAAAAAATATTGCATTCAAATGAAGAAATATACCAATTGAATAAAAAATATTGCATTTAAATGAAAAATATCAAATTTTTGCAACCAATACCATGCCATAATCCAGACTCTACATATGGAGCGTCTGGATAATCGAGACTATAAACAGAGAAACCACGCCCCACTGGTCATTAACATGTAAAAGTCCGTTAACGACCGGGTTTCCTGTCCGTTTTTTTCAGTTAAAGACCGATGGAATTTTTTACTAAAGAATAAAGAATGCCATGTGGCCACGTGTAATAAGAGAAGCTAATTCTTAACCGATATGAAATAATGTAGTATTAGATCAGCGAAAATGGACGCCACATTAAACTCCGAAACATACAAATGACCCAAAATAAATAAAAAAACATACAAGATTAACAAAGGCTAGAGGTTCCTGACTTGGAACAGACACAAAAATGAGCCGGGTTTAACATGTTTTGTGAGATTTCAACCCTCCACTATACCTCTATCCAGAGTGGAATAAACAAACACGCGGCCCAGTGAACGCATGGTAAAACACAGTTTAAAAGAAGTTCGAGTCCGATGTTAGAATAGGTACAAAATGTAACAGAAGAAACTAAGCAAAATGACAATGATCAACATAAATTAACAGAGGACGACTACTAGCAGTTACTGACATGCCAGCTCCAGACCTCAATTGAACTGATCGAAAGATTATGTCTGCATCATATGAAAATCAACCACAGTCCCTCCCGTTAGAGGTCTAGTCTCATGCCATCATAAATTATACGAGAAGAACATAACCCGTATCATGCCAACAACTGGTTTTAGAATAAATGTGTTTATTTTCGATGCAAAGACCCTATGAGTGAATCAATATGCACGTTTTCAAGTAAAGAAAACATTACTTGATTTGCACGTTCCCTATCGAATTTGCCAAAGATATTTATTATATACTGTTTAACTGGTTCCCCGTTATGTCGACAGTTTTGATTTTCGTCTGATCTAAAATGTTTTATAATCTTATAACATGGAAGTACTATGTTTTCAATATAGTACTTCCATGGTCATATACCTACCAGAGAAGTCAGATTACTGAAATATTAAAGTAAGGAACAAAAAGTTCATTGTAGTGGGTGCAAAAGTTGAGCTACTCAATACTTCGAGTACTTTTATCAAATCAAATTTTTATTTATAACTTTTCAAATTAACAAACATAATCTGTGATATTGTTATTATTCTTTTATTTTAAACAGTGACGTTTGTTCATGATAGATTATTTAATATAAAATGACCGTCTTCTAACTGTATATTATTGAAACGTTGTGCTATCAATTGTGTCTTCAATCCTAAATATAAGTATTAAGTACGTTGTGCCAAAAACAAATTTAAACGAACATTTTTATATCTTTCACAATACAGATCAGTTTCTTTTATTATTCTTTACCCATAATGCTCTTCAACTTCGTACTTTATTTGACGCTTTTTCACTTATTTGATTCTCGAGTCACTGATGAGTCTTTTGTTGACGAAACGCGCGTCTGGCGTACAAAATCTGGTATTTATGATGAGTTTACTATCAACGTTTTTACTCTGTCAGTTCAACTATATTTTCCATTTTAAAGCCTTGATGCTCTCCTAGACTTGTATTCATGTTTATTATCGTGTAACCTTTGTTTATCCAGGCAACTTATTACAGCATTTGAAGAAGGGTCGTTTTCGACGTAATTTCAAGGAACAAATTAGTTTTCAATATTTCCTGATATCATTGAATGACACGATGTCCCAATCGTAACCACAACCCCGTCCTCTTTTGTCCTCTTTTCCTCGAATGTGAGCTACCGAATTAGACACCCACAGGGTTTGGACTTAAATGAGCAACACGACGGGTGCCACATGTGGAACAGTACTTGCTGATCCTTCCAGAGCACCATTGATCACCCCTGTTTTTTTGTGGGGTTCGTGTTGCTTAGTCTTTAGTTTTCTATGTTGTGTTTTATATACTGTTATTTGTCTTTTCGTCGTTTTTCATTTTTTACCATGGCATTGCCAGTTTGTTAATTTTCGACTAATGAATTTAAATTTTCCTTTGGTATCCTCCTTTGGCTATGATCATTGTAAGCAAGTTATCTCTATGAAATGTTTTAAAACTAAGAAAAAATATCGCATCTTTAGCTTTTAGGTCTTTTTTTTATTCTCAGAGTGGCATGAAGTAAATAAAATCGTAAAAGGATGTATATGATTTTATTAATAAGTTTTAGTATAGAGTTTTCCTATTTCAGTTTTAAAGTTGCTAAGTTTGGTTCCGCTGCTTGGTGTTTTGTTGTATTCATAAATCTGTAAATAGAAGGAAAACAGTAATTAAAATGTGGTTTGTGGTTTCCCCTAAAGGAAACAGATTGTTCATACTGATTATTATGTCGAAACAACAGAAAACCTACAAATAATATTTATTTGAATACGCCTCACATCAAATGGTAGAAAATCTGCTAAGGCACAGAATCCATTAAAGAGACAGAGAAAAAAATCCCGAAAAAGTGTTGAGCCAAATGAGTTTTCTATACCTATAAAACACCAAATGTTCTTTGGTAAACAAACTCCCATAGCGCATTTAGTGTAATATTTATTTCCCGTTTGGAAAACACTTCATAGGCTACAATCCAAAAGTGCAAATGTACCAAGTCCTTGCAAAATAATTTTGTATTTCTTAATAATTTCAACGTTTTGCATGAATGCATGGTTACTGTTCTTGAATTATTATTAAAATACTAATTTATTAAGTTGAAGGTTTATTATACCGGACGCACACATGCATATCTGTTTCAATCTTTAAACTGTCCCTTCAATGCGATAATGTTGATAATCGTATTGTAATTTGCAACTTTCCAAAACAGCTATATCATACGTCGCCTGCTTTGCTTCAGCATTCAGTTAATCCTTATTAATCTTGTAAGAGAATCTTGTCAATAAATGCAGAAATGCCAAATGTCTAGTTTTTACCTGTGTCGCCGAAGGCGGAAGCACGTCTAGTAAACAACCGCTCGACTCCGTCCATCCGTCAGTCCGAAAGAAAACATTCGTCAAACTTGTATAGGATTCTATGAAAGGGGATGATTTTATACTTGGTCTGCAGCTTTATGATGTTGAGTTGTAGGCGGTTAAGCAATTTTAGTATCTACCGTCTAGCCGCTCCCTGTTTGCCGATAGTTTGAAATTTTACAACACTTATTGAACAAGGAAAACTTTCATAAGCCTGATTTTTCTTGGCTCCTTATAAAGTTAATGATTTTAATATTTGGTCCATGCATGTTACCTCAATCAATTGCATGCAGCGACGCAAGCCCAGAACCGGTATATTTCTTGTTACTTTAACCCCAGTAATATATAATTCAAATACGTGGATTTAACCACAATTTAGTTGCAACTCCCTCGGGCATAGTTAACCTTCCACGATTTTGGCTGTTATATTGTGGCGCCTTGGTTTTTTTTCAAAATTTTAGCCATTAGTGTACCTGATGAAGGTTAGTACAGAAACACGTATAGTCCACACATACATCATACTTGCATATTTACTTACTTTACATTTTACTGGCAGGTATCTGGCGTATCAAAGATTGTGGCGTCTGGAATTCCCTCTTCGAATCCATATACATCGGTAGATGCTTGATGAAATAATATCGATTTTTTATTATTGAAAATCAACAAATAATTACTATATATATATATAAACAAGTCTTTTTTTAATTCTTTATGAGAAATATGCAGGAAAAGAACATGTAAATTAAGAAGAAACTATAAACTCTGCATTGAACTACACCGAAACACTGATTTGGATTTTTAACATGCTATCTCCGGATCCCTTAGTGTCTATCCTCTCTTCATGATGACATTTAACATTATCCGGACACATTATTCTACACATGTACTTCGATCCGATAAGTATTTGCTCTTACTGTTTAATACTGTACACTTATTTTAGAGGCAGTAATTTTAGTTATCTATATGAATAAAATAATGATATCAGGCATGTGCGTCACTGAGAACAATAATAAACAATATCGGCTCAAAGAAGTTCCCAGACTACGGCATTTTACGATCAGGTATGTGTGTTGGATAATTAAATTAAAAATAATGATAATAAAAGAACTAATTACTAAAGGTGCAAAAATTGCATAAACCATAATTCAGAAAAAATAAAGACTAGTATGAATATCCGGGGCCCTCGGTCAAAAATCCGCTAACAGTTTTTATTAGCACAGAGTAAAAGAAAATGGTTGGCTACAAAATAATAAAGTTTATGCTATGCTGAAAATGCTCATTGAGTATAAGAGTGGTCACCATAGTATGTAAAATTCGTACATGTTACTTAAGTCAGAGACATATATACGTATGTGCTTAAGTTAACTCTAATTCACTTTACCACACTAAAAACGGAAGATTTTTGTCTAAAGAAAGACAACTCATATGCTTTATTGTATTTTATGATCATCGCCAGAAGTACTTACTAGGAATATTGGACCAACATTTTATGGTTGCCATCCCAATATTTATAAAAATTTGTATTTTAAGTATGATGCCCACAGAGACAATCACACATCAAAGAAAATAAATGTGAAACAATTATTAGAAACTTGCACTTGAATACATGATTCTATCTTACATGTTAATAATGTGTACATGATAAATGCTTAAAAGGACATTAGTGGCATTACAGAAAAATATATAACTTGTTTACGGGATATTGGGTGTTTGTGATGTAGATATATCTGTTCGTGTTTTCGTACCATAAATATATTCATTTTTCTTCGTCCAATAACTATTTACGGGCTCTGTAAATGTTTAATTTGTGTTAATGGAACGGGAACTGTTCGTCCTTCCGGAGCACTTAACCGTTACTTTTGCGTTAGTGCTGTCATTCTGGAGTTTTTAAGTCACTTTCTCGTGGAATGTCTTTCTTTTCTTGTGGTTATGGTTCTATAAGTAAGTGTATGGGCAATAGATCATTTACATAAATGACCTCCATCGTTAATAGCAGCAATTTTGATGTTGATTAGAATAAATACCAGAAAGCCAAGCACATCAAATAAAAACACACGAATAATACACTAAACATTCATACAGTTTGACGCCAATTTTTAAAAACAAAATTGTTTTTATTCGAGTTTATTTTTCCATTCAAACTACGCATAAGGTGTCATTCTGATGTCTACTTAAAAATCCCTTTTTTTTATTATTTCTGAAGATTTTCTTATCAGGTTTAAACATAAATTACCTCCATCGTTAATAGCAGCAAGTTTGAAGTTGATTGGAATACATTCCCCGTCAGTAACCGTCAATACACCATTTCCAAGTTCTAAAGTGTTTGAAATTTCGTATGTTGTTGTTGCAATTTTGTTGGCTCCCGTTCCAACAAAAGATTTAAACAATATTTTCGCGGAATCTACAAAAAAAAACAACAATAAAAGCCATCATCTTTATCTACATGTATTGTTACTGGGTTTACACAGGAAGATTTTCCTTTGAAGTACATTAGCCGACCTACCTATTAATTCAAAGGTTCTGTCGTTCTAGCCAATTTGTATTTCATTGTTAAAAACCACACTCTGGTATTAAAAAAAAAACTACCACTTCGTATAAAATTGAGAATGAATGCATTCTTTTTTACAATATGTACGTATAAAATACATACTAGTATATCATATTGCTACCTCATTTTGATATCAAATGGTCCGGTCCTTGCAAAGGTATGTCTGCAATTCTTTTTTTTTCAGATATACGAAGAAAGTCAAACGGAGGCAACATTAAACATAATGCATAGCCCACTAAGTTTAAAAGACCGTATCAAAACTTTGATACTCCATTTTTTTAAAAGAAGATAAACGTTTAACAACAAGGATGTACCCGTCCAAGAAACCTAGAAAAGGGGCGTTTTGAAAAGAACTACCCTCAATCAAAAAAGTTCTAACAAGTAGCATTCGCTTAAGGAATGCACTTCGTAAATGATAGGTCTTCCTCTGAATTTGGCGAACCGAGATTGCCAAAAGACGAATGGCGTTCAGATGTGTACCCAATATGCACCGACTGCAGCCTGACTATGGTGAATACATATCACACATTTGGTTAGCTTTTCACGAGCTTGTTTCTACGTGCTCAATTCCGATTTTAATGGGAGTTTAAGTTTTTAAGTATAACATTTAAGTTTACTGCAATGTTCACTGCTCTTTTGATGGTGCATACTCATGCCAGTCTCATTTTCTTTAAAAAAAAATGTGTTTTTGTTGTTGCTGGGGGAGTGTCGTTCGCGTAATGACCTATATATAAATGTTTTATTTCTTCTTTGAAATAACTACTTTCTTTTTTATGGTTACTTGCCTGGTACACACCAAGGGAAACCTGTAGAGATTGGTATTTTCTCACAAACATTGTTGGCGACATAGTACTCAATACTCTACAATTAAATATAAATTGGTGAATTTGGTCTTTTGTCGTCTAAAAGATCTCGTTAAATAAGGCAAACAACAATATATGTACAACATATCTTCAACGGGATATGGTCAGATCCACGAAAAATACTTCTGTTACTTATATGGCATGGGTTATTGTAAAAAATAAAACAAAACCAGACCGCTTTATTTCCATCATATGTATAGTAACAAAGATTAAACTATACAGCTTATCTAATTATGGTTTGGTGATCTATAGGCTACCTTGCACATGTATACGTTTTCGTTGATTCCGATATGTCGACAGTATTGCTAAAATAGTTCACAACTGCTAGTATTAAACAAATAATTGTCCACACGTCTTTCAGCTCGTACAGAAGGATAAAAGAAGAAGATTGTTTAATAGAACAAATAAATCGGCAGGAATTTTTTTTACTATGCTGGTTCGAAACAGGTTACGTTTTAGCAGAAATACTTGAACTTCAATGAGTTCATTTGTTTCGGGTGTTAGTTAGTAAAGAATTGAAATGGAAAAGGTACTTAATTGTAAAATACAGGGAGTGTTATGACTATACTAGGACTAGAATACCTCATCTTGATTTAAAAAAAAAAAAAAAAAATCGCTTTATTACGATGAATGGAATGTCCATTTAGTGGAGTGCCTCCTCAAGTCCAATCAGAGTGCACAGTTACATTTGACTATTCATTTAAAATCATATATATGCTTTACTTACATTGCCGTAATCTTGGAGTGAAAATTCTTGACTTTGTATTCCTTCTCTTGATACTTTCATATATGATGCAACATTCTTCAGATTTGCATCGAACGAAACATCTACATATACCTAGAGATGAAAACAAAAATTATAACGCGTTTAAACATTACCTTTATTTATACTAGATCGATTAAGATACATTATAATATCTGAGAGATGTCAGTGGAAGTTTCTGAACCAAAAGACTATTCTCTTACCTTGTCAGTAGATCTCATCGACACCAATTGAACCGCATGCCACTGGCGAGGTAAGCAGCAAATGCTTCCAGTAGTTTGTTTATACATGGCGATAAAAGTTAATATCAATATAAAGGAATGCATTTTCGTCCTCGTCATCCTCATTCCCTATAACTAATAGTATAATGACTTTATATTTAAAAAGTCAAGTAACTTGTGAAATCGTTTAATCGGACGATGCACTTAACAATCAAATTACTGCGTATTTCCTTCACGTGACAAAAATCATTCTATGTTATCTAAGAAGAAATTTACATCCGATCGGACGTCCCATACTACCAAAAGGATATTGTTATACTCAGCGCAGGTCCTATGCGTATATTGAGGAACTGAATGGTACCCTTGTGATCGATCGGAATGCAAAATAAATGTTATATTTCCCACTAAAGAATTTGAAAGATGTTATAGATATATTTTGAAGTACTTTGAACATATTGTTATAATCTAGGGTTGTAGGAAATAGGAAATACAAACAAAGCCGTATTCACTAAGGCTTGAAATAACACAACGCCACAAAAAAGTAGGGATGTGTTTTTTGTTAATTGGTTTTGAGTCGAGTATATTTTTTTTCCAAAACCTACCAGCTAGCCAAACACACATCTAATAAAAACACACAAAAAATAAACTAAACATTCATACAGTTTTAAATAACGCCATTTTTTTTTACACCAAAATTATTTTGATCTACGCATAGGGTCTCATTCTGATGTCTTAGTACTTAAAAATTCCCTTTTTTTTTAACTATTTCTATTGAGAATATTTACTTTCGAAATACTCATAAGATGTCATTCTAATATTTCTTAAAAAATCCTTTATTCTTATAATTTCGGAAAATTTTCCGAAAAACAAATTTTTTTACCCCAGGCCAAAAAAAAAACTACCAGCGAGCGAAGTCAAAACAAAGAAACAACCAATTTTGGCCAAACTTAAATGTTGACGAGCATTGCCCAAGAACGAATTTGTTTGTAAAATCTGTGAAAATATAGTGTGTTAAGGTTAATAGATGTGATTTTTTAATGATAAAACTATTCTAATGTTACTTGATAATAATTTTTTTTGTAATTTCGGAAGATTTTCCGAAACAGTTTTTTTGTTTTGTTACCTCAAGCACAAAAACCTCCCAGCGAGGGTGGGCAAAACAAATAAACACATAACTTTGGCCAAAATTATAGATATTGACCAGCGCATGATAGCTCATGTAAGAATTTGTTTGAACTCTGAAAATATAATGTGTGAAGGTTAATAGATGTGACATTTTGAAGGATGAAACATTGCATATTTTGAAAAACACACGATGAAGAGATACAATAAATGAAGATAGACATTCCACGACTAAAAGGAACGGAACAGAGAATCTGACGTGTATTTAAATCGTTAGGTATTTGATAATCAGCACGAAATAGAGATCCGATTTCTGCTAAATAAAAGTTCGTTACAACATGGAGTTGTTATATGCATGAGATTATACCTCCTTTTTTACATGATTTCCTAGTTTTCATAAGATAACTGAAAAAAAACATTATTTGAGTAAAGTGGGGTTTTTTTTCTTCTAGTTTTCCACGTTTTTCGTTCCACTAATCATGATGATAGAGGAAGGCGTTATCATTCACAAATAAAGTGTAATCCTGCTACACCAGCGTCTTCTCTCTTTTTTTCTATTAGAATTTTTGCAATATGATCAGATTAATTGTCTGTAGTACTACTCATTTTTCGTGGCCCGAAACAAATCAGAATTTGTCATATGATGCATGCTCTAAGATGTAAATCTTAATGTTAACTTATGGTCTCATTGCTCACTAGCGGATTTAGGGGGGTTTGGAGGGGGGGTCGCAAAAAACCCCCCGCTTGAAAATCTTAAAATAATTTTTGTATTAACTATTTCTTGTTTTAATGTTATCTTTGCTATAAATTGAATATCCAGCACTAAATAGGGTGACAAGCTGTTGCTACACTCCTTTAAATATACACATGTCATAATTACATTGGCCTGAGGGAAACTTAATTGATAATTAGAGGATGTAAGGATTTAATTTAGACAATCCAAGGCTGCTATCCCTATATTTTATTACTTTGTTGGTTTTATGATTAAAACGACGTTTTCTGTTAGCTTGATTTAAGACAAATTCTTTTTCACCTTATCATATCCATAAGAATTTTTTTTTTTGAAAAATGACACCAGCTGAATTTCAAGGATATTGCAAACTTTATTTCCACATCTGTACCTAGTGCTCAAATGTATAGCATTCTAGATGAAAACTGGAATCCACCTAGATCTTTTCCCGCTTTTCATAAACAAGAAATGTACGGGTTAACAAGTAAGACGACAACCCCGGACAGTTTGTTAAAAACCGTTCAGAATTGGGTTAAGCAAATGGTGAATGTTAATCCCCCCCCCCCCCCCCAAAAAAAAATACCACCAAACAGCCTTATTAAGATCACAAGACTTGACCAACATACATGATAAGACGGCTAGTGGAATAGATGCAAGGGCTGATACAGCAATTGCAAAACGGTGGATACGATCTGTAATTAAATAACTAAACTAATCTAAAAAGTTTATTTTGAGTAACCATATGCCGGATGAACAAAAAGTGTGCCAATTATTGAAAAAAAACATATTATTTGGTATAACAAAAAAACTTCTCTAATGTTCAAAAACATTTCTCACCCCCCCCCCCCCCCCCCCCTCCCCCCGCTTTAAGCTCTGGATCTGCGTCTGTTGCTGTCTCATCAGCATCCCCGGCTTATTCGTATAGTGATATCCCAGATGCGTTAATCAAGCCACAATTACAAGTAACTAAAATACTTTTTCAAAGAAACAAGAAAGTAAATATATGATTAGATATCGATAATAGATACGAATAGATAACGATAATAGTTACGAATAGATAACGATAGTAGATACGAATAGATAACGATAGTAGAATACGAATAGATAACGATAATTAATACGAATAGATAACCATAATAGATACGAATAGATAACGATAATATATACGAATAGATTACGATAGTAGATACGAATAGATAACGATAATAGATACGAATAGATAACGATAGTAGATACGAATAGATAACGATAATTAATACGAATATATAACGATAATAGATATGCATGCGAATAGATAACAATAATATATAGGCCTATGTATAGGTAACGATAACAGACAGGCCTACGGATAGATTGTGATAATAGATAGACCTACACATAGATAACGACAGTAGATAGGCCTACGAATAGGTAACGATAATATATCATCGGCATATATAGGCCTACAGATAGATAGTGATAAAAAATAGGCCGAAGAAGAGATAGCTGTTGATCTGCAAGGTATCTACTTGCCACTTCACATCATGAACTGTGTTTCAACCCTAAGTAAAGCTGACGAGGAAATGCATTACTCAACTAATTGATAACGATAATAGATACAAATAGGTAACGGTAATATATAGGTCTTTCAATAAACAACGATAAAAGATAGGCCAATATGAATAGATAACGACAATTAATGGGGTAAGTGTTATTTACATTCTAGAATGTTCGGTTTGAAGTTTCCAATATATTGGTGAGTTAAAACAGCCTTTCCACAAAACGCCTCAATGGCTATCGAAGTGATATCTCTAAGAAGCCATTTATTCCCACCAGTTAGCCAGCATTTCAGACAGTCTGATCATAAACTTAGTGACTTAAACCGCATAAAAGTCCTAGTGATTGAACGAAACATTCACTGTGATGCCAAGCGAGAGGTTCGGAAAAGCTTCTGCATAAAGGAACAAAATGCACTTCATCAAAACGGCATCACCAGGATGTACTCGAGGTCTGATACAGGTGCTCATCTATTACCCAGCGTCTGTGATTAGAATAGAAACGTTAGGAGCTATATGACACAAACAAAAAACAAGAGTGGACACACAGAAATGTCTCGCCTGTCGTGTATTTATGATTTAAGTTATGTTGAAAGTACATGCTATCAGACATACATTATAAAATTTAAGCTGTAAATAATGAGATAATGTCGCTGCTGCTGGTGCCTGTATGAACGCTAAAGCTGCTGCCAGGCCTGCTGAAGACAACTATCATAGTGTCTTCATACTACTAATTGTATAGGTTATTATCCGCTATATGAAGATATGCTGGATAACTGTGGTTAAGAGTGAAATAACTTAGTGATATACCATTGATATTGATTATTGTGATTAAATATGGCAGTGAAGAATGAAAAAAACTAACATTGACCTATGAACCATGAAAATAAGGTCAAGGTCATATGAACCCTGTCAGACAGACAGATACGCCTTACAATCATTCCATACACCAAATATAGTTGACCTATTGCTTATCTCTTCTAAGAAAAAAAGTTCAGCATTAAAACTTAACATTGACCGATGAGCCATGTAAAAGGGAATAAGGTCATATGATACCTAGCGGACAGACATAAACACCTTATAAACATTCCATACACCAAATATAGTTGACCTATTGCTTATAGTTGAACAAAAATAGACCAAAACACCAAATTTTAACACTGAGCAATGAACCGTGAAAATCAGGTCAAGGTCAGATAAAACCTGCGAGACAGACATGTACATCCTAAAATATTTCCATACACCAAATATAGTTCACCTATTGCATATAGTATAAGGAAAAAAGGACCAAAACTAAAAAACTTAACTTTGACCACTGAACCATGAAAATAAGGCCATATCAGATGACACCTGCCAGTTGGACATGTACACCTTACAATCATTCCATAATCCAAATATAGTTGACCTTTTGTTGAAAGTATAAGAAAAATAGACCAAAAACAGAAACTTAACATTGAGCAATGAACCGTAAAAATTAGGTCAAGGTCAAATAAAACATGCCAGACTGACATGTACATGTACATCGTAAAATAATTTCATACACCAAATATAGTTGATTTATCTTATACAGTATAGGAAAAATAGACCAAAACACAAAAACTTAACTTTAACCAATGAACCATGAAAATGAGGTCAAGGTCATATGACACCTGCCACTTGGACATGTACACCTTACAATCATTCCATACACCAAATATAGTAGACCTATTGCTTATAGTATCGGAGATATTGACTTGACCACCAAAACTTAACCTTGTTCACTGATCCATGAAATAAGGTCGAGGTCAAGTGAAAACTGCCTTACGGGCATGAGGACCTTG